GATTCTTCCTGCTGTTCCCAAATTCCCGTATTATTTCACCCTGTTTCCTCTTCCAGCTGGAAAATAAGGATGTGACTTGGCATCCTTTACTCAGTTTCCCCCCTCCCTTTGCTCTAACTCCCTCCTCGTTAGCATGCTGATGACTGGAAAGGAAACCGAAATTACACCCTGGGCTGACGTTAAGTCAGACTTTGAAGTTAAATGTCAGGGAGCTGTTGTGAGGCTTTCTTCACACCGAGAGGCAGAAACATCCCTAAGAGACAGAAAGGAGCCAGTCAGAGAAGTGATGGCTAAAGGTCTGCCTCATCTTGCTGTACCCTTGACTTTAGGATGCAAACCTCAGCCTGGCAACCTCCCAGATCCCAAAATTCAACCAGCATCGGATAAAGCTGTCTGGAGGCGAAGGGATTGGTAGCATGACTCATAATCTGAAGGGCATCGTCATTCTCGACTATATAGAAATGCGTAGCAGAAAGCTTTGCCGATTTTACATTCTTAGTGTATGTACGCTGTACGTCTGTACATCCTACCCTGTGTGTCCAGCTGTGCTGTACAGGTGTGTGACACACTCCATCTGTTTTGGTCCCCTCAACCCAGCTGTGCTGTACAGGTGTGTGACACACTTGCATCTGTTTTGGTCCCCTCAACACCCAAACTCCATGCTCTTGTGCAAGATGCTGGGAAGTCAGGGCTGGGCCCACTGGGCCCCAGGAATTAATCCAGTTTAGCCTCTTTGCACTGTCGCTCTGTGAATACGCAGTAACTTGATCTGTTAAGTGTTATTTATTGCACAAAAAGACTGCTAAAACTAGTGCATATGTAATTCGACTAATTGGACAGAGCAAGTGAGGAAGAAGGCTACCAGAGGCAGCTCATCAATTTAATCTGCATTTTCTGGAAAGTTTTCCTGCAATTTTCATGGTTTGGTTTAGTAGTCATGGTACTGCAATATCTGTCCCCATAAACTCTCCGAGGAAGTGGATAATAATTAGGAATTGATTAGAGAGAAAATGACTCAGAGCTGAAGCATGGGAGTCAAATTTACTGAATTTGGTAAAAAATTAACTTTTCTAGCTTGGAAATACTGCATAACATGCTGGAGAGGAAAATTAAATACTTGTTCTGTTCATTCCTTTTCTGTTCAGTGTTTATGCAGAGAGCACAGTGATTTTCAGAAAGCTTGCGATGTGAATATCCGAGGGAAATGGAGGGTGTTACGGCAGCCTGTGGGCGCAGGGCGCTGTGCGATGGCAGCTGCTTGGTTTAGCTGTAGCTGTTGTTGCTGGACTCACTGCGCAGACAGGGCTCAAATGGTCTAGGTCTTCCACACAGCAGCTTCCTATGAATGTCTCTGATAAATAGAAATGTTTTCGAAGCCGATTGAGATGAAAAGTGCTTATGGAAAAGCACGTCAGTTAATTTTTTCTGTTTTTTTAGTACAGAAAGGATTTTCTATTCAAAGACTCATGTACAAATACATAAAACTACCTTCCCTGAATAATTAAAGCAGTTGGTCCATCTTCCTGATAAAACCAGACCAGTCTTCCTTCTCTTCCTCCATTCCATTCCTTTCATAATTTTAATTCACTTTAACTGCTTTTTTTCTTAGGTTTATACTTTTAACTGCTATTAAAACAAACGGGCTTATCATAGCACTGAATCTGATCCTGGACTTTGCATTTTTCTTACGTGCTCAATTGCTTTCATTTGAAGCCCCGTAGCGGGCAGAGTTTAAGCGCCATTACTTAGGACTAATTAATCCCATTTTCTTTTGAACTCCAAGGTAAACTTGTGAACTGAGACCTTTTCCAGCTGACGATTCTTTTGCAGCACTTGCGCGAGAAACGAAATTTTGCGTCATCCTGCTTGTCCCTGTTGAGCTTTTGGGGCAGGTGGCACACACGGGGCTGCTGCATTTCTTCTGACTCCTGTTCATGGGCTATGGCGGCTTCCAGTGGAAGCCTTTCCCCTCTAAACTGGAGCTAATGGTGCAGATCACCGCTCTGCAGAGGAAAATACAGATGTGAGGTGTTATTGATGGAGAAAGCTGTGATTTAGGCTGTGTCTGTGGGGTAGCTGCGGGGTCTTGCTGTGTCTGCCTGGCTGCCCCCATTTCCCAAAGCTGAG